TATCTACTGTAGGTAGTGGTTCTAAGTCATCTACGATATTAAATGAATTATCAATATCCATGATAGGTAGTTTTCTTCAATAAAATCTTCTAAGAACTCAACAGCTCTGCTTTCAATGAGTCCCTTATCTTTAGGATAAAATCGATATCCTTTTAATCCTTCGGGGTATCTTATAAAATTACAAATTAGATTTTTGTTTTCTAACTTATTTCTATACTGATATGGAATTAGGACATGAGCAGTCGACCCCCACTTCTTTAAGATGAATATATCAGGCTTTCTATCTGCCTACAGTTCATAAGGGGTAAAATCTATTGCTTTAGTTGGAACCTTATTAAGAATAAACATGGATGTACTTATTGCTTCTCCCCAAAAGATATTGGGTAGATTAGCATGAGTCATCATGGATTTAGTCATTTTTAAGGTATGAGGGTTATATTACGCTTTTTCAGCTATTCCATTTTGTTGTGTATATGGCATAGTGGCATGTCTTTCAAGATCATATTCTTAACAATAAGTATTGAAAGCTTCGGATGTGTATTCACCTCCCCTATTGGTTCTAAGAACTTTGATGTTCCTATCGAATTGATTTTCTACTTCCCTTTTGTATAATTTAAATTGTTCTAAAGCTTCTGATTTATTGTGGATTAGATAAATATATCCAAATCTAGAAAAATTATGAATATAAGTAATGAGGTATGTCATCCCACTATGAGTTTTAACATTGAGGGGGCCACAAATGTCTGATAAAATGTCATTCAATAACTCATTAGCTCTTGACAAGCAGTGTTGACAGGTTTGAAATTCCACATTATTTAGATTTAGAATAAGACATTTCTTTATTAACCTATTTATTTTTGTCTTTTCTTATGTGGCCAAGCCTAAGATGCAAAGTATATGCATCAACAACCATTACACAATCAATATAATCAGGATAAGTTGAAATTTTATTATTATCAGCTTTCTCATTTACATAAAGAATGAACAAGTAGTGGTCATCAACCAAGTTTCCTCAAGCATAAATTTGTCCACTCTGCCCGATTGATATTTTCAATGATCGAAAGCAGACTTTAAAGCCCTTTGTAATGAGCAAGGGGATAAATACAATATTTCATCTCATACAAAGAACAAAATATACATCAGTTAATATAAGGTCGATTGTCCCTACATATAACCTACAATTTTCTACACCTAATATATCATAATAAGTATTGTTTCCAATGTAGATGCGTTTCTCCGCAGCTTTTATTTCTTTGAAGTCCTCGAAGAGGCCTTTTGAGGTTGCAATATACCGATTAGCGCCTCAGTCTGCCCACTATCCTTTGATGTCGTGGTCTGCCATCAGGCACTCAGAAAACCATACAGACAACTTCATATCTCTTGCTTCCATTTCTATTATTTTTTGGATTTTGTGGATTTTTATTATGTATCCAACGATTTTTGAAGTGCCCTGGCTGACCACATAAGAAGCATTTTGGCGGTCCTTGTTTGGTTTATTAGTTGTAGGGCTTAGTTCTTCTGTTTTTGAACCTATTGTTCCTCTTATTAAATTTCCCTTAAAATTTAGGCTTGGGTTGGCTAGTTTTGGAAGGTCTGTGAGCAAACATGAGCTCACTGCTTTTATATTTGTTTATATTGCATGGGTAGGTCCCTTAATGTGAGAGATTTAACATTCAATCTAAGTGCAATTGTTACCATATTCCATGAAGGTGGAAGGCTATTTAAGATTGTAGAAACTTGCATGCGCTTGGGGACTTCATTCTCAGTCATGACTGAGTCTTTAGCCATCACAAGCATTTTGTTTACATGTTCCACTACATTATTACCCTCCTTCAGTTTAAATGAGTTATATTGCTCTAACATCAATTGGAGGTGTGTTTCAAAGGTTGAGTCATATTTTGTTTTTATTGCCTCCAACATTTTTTTAGATGTTTCATAATGTTCGAAAACTTTAATAAGGTCATCTTGCATAAAAGTTAACATAGAAGTTTTTGCTATGAGGTCATCTTCTAAAAAAAAATCTAACTTTTTATTTTCTTCTTCAGTTGGTTTATCACCAACTACTAGTGGATAATCTTTTAGTACATATATGATTTTATCTTGGATGAGGACATATTCTATCTTCCTCTTCCACATCCCAAAATGGTTTCCATTCAATTTTTCAACTTTAAAAAGTTCATCTATTACAATTCTACTAGCCATTTGTTAAGTTATGTGTGAGCAACCTAATACCTTTTAAGTTCTAAAGAAGCTAAACAAGCCACCAAAAAATATTGATTATGTGGTCAATACATGTACAGGGAGAGAGCTACAATTATTTCATAAACAATATAAGTTATAAAGTGATGCCTTAAAGAAATTATGAAATAGGCAATTTCTCATTCTATAAGTCAACACTACAATTATTAAAGTTAATGTAAAATTCCCCTTTATATTATTTATTTGGGGTGCATGAGCAATATCAAGGACATATGAGCCCTTATAATAAAAGAGCAAATATCGACAGTATTACCATGGTAACAAATGCATCAATTGTGTACAATTATTAGAAACAAGAAACAATAAAATTATAAGCCAGATAATAACTTGTGGGTCCTCCGCTTTTTTAAAAAATATTTTTTTTTAATACAATAGTGCATAAAAAAGGCAAACTGCGTCCCTTATTTTGCTACTATCATTATCTTCTCCCCTTCTATCGTAAAACTCTGAGATTGACTGTCACGGGAATAGAGGAGATCCTCGGTGAAATGTTGAAGGTGAAGGTCACATACGCGTTCCTATAATAGGCTATATGATGAGTATGCATAGTTGGGATAGGAAACCACATGATTATCTTGATGCCAAATATAAGTCCTACTTTGTAGTAAATTAAATCCTATTAGATATGGAAAATCTAATCAAAGTAGGAATGAGCAAAGATGAGGCCTCACGTGATTTAGCCTATAATTGTGGGCTTGGAAGAATCTCATTATCCATAATTATCTCCAACATTCATATGAATATGTTGGATGAATATCCTTGAGATCAGGGAAGATCTTTCTCAGAGATCCATTAGATAAATATAAACCTCTCCCCATAAAAATGGGAAGCCAGAGAGAAGAAGACACAACAAGAAAAATGTGTACAATTATTCTCTCTCTAAAAGTGAAGGGATCAAAATCCGAGCTCTGCGATCACCAGCCTTAGGGCACCCATGTTTTGATTTCATCTGCACCATCTATTTTCACTAACAATTATTAAATCGGTAAGGCTTGTATAAGGTTGAGGCCCTAAACAATCAAATTAAGGCACACCTTTAAATAGTGCCAAAATATTTTCTTTCAACATCTTCAATCGTTATAATGGTCTGAAAATTTATTTTCATCTTTAATTATAAAATTTAAGAGTAATGATCCTATGAGACCCTCCCACACTCATATGTGTAGGACCCCAAAAGATCACCATTAAATTTAGCATAGATCTTTAGAAAATCAAGTTCCACATTCATGTGATAACTTTTCTAAAGATCCGTGCCAAATTTAACGGTGATCTTTTGGGGTCTTGCACATATGGGTGTTGGAGGATCTCATAAGATCATTACTCAAAATTTAAATGTTAAAAAACAGTGTAGATCAAACAAATCTATTAACACTAGAAAATCTTGAATATTAAGAGTTTAGATACATTACAAGATATTCTATTTTCAAAACTTAAAATCTATGTCTTCTTATGTCAATACATCTTGAGGTCCAGAATATCGAATTTGAGGGTTTTTTAACATTGAAACCTCTTCTAATAAAATTTTGAAGTGCGCCTTAATTTGATTGTTCAGGGTCTCACCCTTATATAAACTTTTTCCTTGTTAAATTCTAAAGATATGGAGTTCCCATTGTTTTTGCATGTTTGTCAGCATGAGAGAGAGAGAGAGAGAGAGAGAGCGGCTCACACAATTTAGTGCAACTAACTTTTTCCATTTGCAAGTTCCGAAAACAACGTATCATGTTGCAGCCCACCATTTCAGGAGGTTAGGGTTTAGGAAATTATGTGAGGCTTTGACGTCGAGAGTTTAGATAAACTTGAGAGGGAGATGAAGGGCCGGCACTGCATTTTAAGTATGTGGGAGATAGATGAAAGGATGGGATTGTCTTTGACAACCGACTAACGCAGAAGTCGATCTTGTGATTATTCACGGCAATTTAAAACAAGGATTTTAATAAATAAATTACTTTAATTTATAACAGGGGATTCAAATCTGACGTTTATGTATGGTTTTTACTTCTTTTTTTTTTTTAATTCGACATATAGAGAAATTTGCAACTCTAGCGGTTGATTTTGAGCGCACGTAGCATTCTCCCGTGGGAGCCTCTCTCTCTCTCTTTCGATATGAAATTTTGAAATCCACCTAAGAATCATTACGGTCTAAAGAGAAAAATTGAATCTAAAGTTTTCTAACACTCGGATCTCACCCACATAAAATTGAACGGTATATGTTCAATCTTGTGACATTTCTCTTATGTGCAAGGTTGGTGTGCAATTAGGAAATTTCTTTCTTCTAAAGATAGTCCATCTGTTGAAGATGTTAGATCCCAGAAATTTGGGGTCCTAAAATCACTCCTAGACCCAATAAATAGGCAATATGCTCCTGTAGGAGCATAAAATCTTTTCACATTGGTTTAAGTCACGAAATCACGTAAAGGTGTTTAATCAATCATCATTTACCATTAGAATTGAAAACGGGTGGTTGAAGATGTACCATTGTTCTAACACAAAGTCAAATAAAATTTCTTGAATGTAGTCCCACTTTTATCTTTTGGATTTCACATCCAATAGCTCAAAACGATTGTTATCTCCTTACACCAAAAATAAATGGTCTCATCGAATAGAATCCCAGGGAGAAATGTGCATCACATGCCTATGAGTTAAACTACATGAAATAACAAAAGATGATTGAACAACCAATTCGAGCGAGGCTGGTATACGTTCAGGGGTGGGTATGTTAATATCAAACTCATGCCAGTATCCAAGCCTAAAGCAATCATCAATTGCAATTCAATCGGTTAGGAAAATACTTTAGCTTCAACTTGTAAGTTTTAGTGAACATATTTAACTGGTAAAAACATGCTACAAGAACCTCTTTTGTCACTCTCTCAAAATTATATATGCACGCGAAACCTGCAAGCTACATTACATTTCAAAACAGATCAACTTTGAATGGGCAGTTCGGATTTCCTAACTGTAAAATATGATAGCTCTAAAACCCGAAGGTATCACAATCCATTCACCTGGATCAAAACCCCAATCCAGCTCATTCACGGTAATCTTGCATCCCTCTTATCATGAACAATAATATCATCGACCCCATTCGAGTTCTGCACCACGCCGCTGGTTTGCATTGGTCAGCTGAGACGTATCTACTGGCCTGATTGACTCGGCAAAAGCATGCCAACCCAAAAGGTATGGCAAGATGAACTGCACATTTGGGAAGAAACAGTTCCAAAATTTATTGATGGACGAGCAATCCGCATCTCCCATTTGTCACAATATCATAATGAAACTCATGTACCAAACAATTCCCCACAAAAGACGAGTACATTTTGAAGATTTCTGGTGAACAAAATATTTGTTTTTCTCTTGAATAGCGTGGACGGTAGTTGATTTATTTTTCCATTCAATTAGCTGGTGAGGCTTAAGGACTACTTGGGGTTTCAAATACTCCTGAGGATTCCTATTATCCAGATCTTTTTAGAAAAAGTTGCTAAAGTCTTACCGAGTCTGACCAAGTCAACCAGATTCAGGACAGGCTAACTCCCAAGCCAAAGTTTTTAAACTTGCTGGAGAACAGATAAAACATTGATGTCCGGGTGTTATTTTCCAGATGCACACAATTTTTACCTTTGAAAATTTATCTACATAAACCTGTGTGAGTGTGTGTGTGTGTGTGAGAGAGAGAGATACATTGAATGCTGAGACAATAACTGCGAATTCTGCCTTAGTTACAGGAATATAGATGCTATCATCAATGTTCAGGGGCCGATTTGAAACACCTACAAACAGGAGCAACAAACAAAAAATTAGAGCATTTATTAGAACAGAAATCATGAGATGAAGATCTATTACATGACACTCTAGGTATATTTGAGAAAATCCGAGAGTTCCTAGCCATCCTTTTTTATTTCCAATTGCATGCATAGAGATCACAATAGATTTGCAAGTGTCATTCTCTAGCTCGGTTTCACTCTGGAATTCATTTAAGCAGGTGCTTACACTGCGCTAATTATAACTAGGATTCTAAAAACCCAAGCCTGCAACCTCCGAGCTGCTCAAGCACCATTTTATTATTATTATTATTTTAAGCAGAAGCCCCTTCTTACTTAAAATCTATATGGAAATGGCATTCTCTGCTGTCATATAGGAAAAACAGGAAATAGATATAATGTTAGAAGTGAAATTCAGAATTAAAACCCCAAACTCTGCTCAGTCTGAGATGAATTGAATCAGCCAAGGCCCAGATGAGTCTCATTCATTTGTTCTGGTTTCATTCATTCCTAAATGAGTTAACTGCTGAAGAGCTTTTGAACTGCAGCAAGATTAATGAGCTGAAAAGAACATTCCACAACATGGTCTTATGTGCCAAAAAGTTTTTTCCATGAGAGATTAACAGCAAAGGGACTTGTTCTAAGACAGAACAGGAGTGGTGGAGACAATCCTATACAGTGGTCTGGGGTCTATACATATGTGGGAAGGGAGAGGGCTGGTCTGAATTCTAACCCAAGGACTGGGGGTTTGGCCAACTCGTCAAGTGGGCCCCATACAATGCATGGGAAGGGCAGGCTTCTTTTGCAGTCTATGGCATACATAATGCATGTAACATATAATGACTGGTCCCCACCACCGGAATGCAGTATTAAACTCAATTTCGACAGGTGCTACCTTGGTAACCCCAGACCAGCAGAAGTGGCGGGGTTTTCAGAGACTACCATGGCAATATCCTGGCCCCTTTTTCCAAGAACATTGGCCACACCAATTCCCAGTTTGCCAAGTCCATGGCACTCTTCTCGGGACTCAAAATGTTCAACCACGAGTGGGGTCAACCACTGGTTGTTGAGGGAGACGTCCAAAACATAATCACTTCGGCTGCTAGACTTGCTCCCCCTCCTTGGTATCTTGCTTCGATTTATGATGAGATAATGCATGTTTGCAGGGATACAGTCATCTTATGGACGCATACTTGGAGGACGTCAAACGCCTTGGTGGACCAAATGACTAAGGAAGGCGCACTATCAAGCACATGAGCCACTGGAATTTTTCGTCTCATTGCTCTTTGTCAGATGTTTTGTCTGAATTCCCGGCTCCTCTTTCTTGTAAATCCTTGTAATGGACACCTTTTTGTTTTTTCTCTGTAATGGACAATTCCTATAAGCCCCACCATGTTTTGTACATGATCTCTATTTTTGGGGAGCCTAACATTTTTTGCCGAGTGACCCGTTCTGTGGGTTGCCTCAACGGACTACTGTACTACTTTACTTATCTTAAAACAACAGTCAACAATTTCAAAAAAAAATAAAAATGCATGTAACATATAAAATTAATTATTTCATACTCTTCTTGTGAATCTTATAACTCTTATTTTGTTTTTTTTTTAATTTACAATTTGGTTTGACTGGTTGAATAGGCTGCAGGATCAGATGGACCAGTTGGACTGGAAAAAAAAAAACCTCTGCTCATTCAGATATGGGTATAATGCCAAATTGCCAATAACACGTCAGCAAAGAATATGTCTTCAGCTGAGCATGTGTTGAAAACATGACACCCAACAGTAAATGCACTGAACGTAAGTTTTTTAGGATATCAATAGTTTTTTAGGATGAGTATGCAGGTACTATGGATACATCAGGGATTGAACTTTTAATGTCTTCAGCTGAGCATGTGTTGAAAACATGACACCCAACAGTAAATGCACTGAACGTAAGTGTTTTAGGATATCAATAGTTTTTTAGGATGAGTATGCAGGTACTATGGATACATCATGGATTGAACTTTTAATACGTCTTCAGCTGAGCATGTGTTGAAAACATGACACCCAACAGTAAATGCACTGAACGTAAGTTTTTTAGGATATCAATAGTTTTTTAGGATGAGTATGCAGGTACTATGGATACATCAGGGATAGAACAAAAGTTCAATGAAATAGCGTTTGAGTATAGAAGGGCTTTCATACTTCATTATTTCCTTGCCTTTTTTAATCATCATTCTCTGCTGCTATTACTCAAAGATACTTTCAGTACAATTGATCAAACAGAGTAACTTGACTTGGTATCTTACATTAAACTCAAGCATAAGAGAACAATTGTCTCACATGCTCCAAATAAAAAAATTCCATAAGCCCTGTGGGTCAAATATGGGCAAGATCCAGCTGATATTAGTTTTTCATCTTAACTCACTGGACCCATCTGAGTCAAACAGGATCTTTCTGGGTTGAACAAGTCAAGAACCACCTTTTTCATCTTTCAAACAAAAAAAAAGGATATCTAAAGCAAAACTTTAATTACATACAGTGACTAAATAGAGCAATCTATTCTGCATCCTGCTTCTTTACATAAATTACTCCCATCATTTAGGGAATCTAACAAGAAGTACCATATGAAACCCTGTATTCCCCTTGCCAGTCATGCACTCCCCACCCTTAGGAGTGTCAACAAGCCGAGCTTCTTCAAGTTTCGCTTGCATTAGCAGAGGACATGCAGTGTTTGGCTCAATAAAGGGAAAGTAAAGCTTGAGCTTGGCTTGGCTTATTTACTTAAAAGAGCCCATGAACAAGTAAAATCAAGCCATAAACAACTAAGAACAAGCCAATGAATAAGGCAATATATAACTTTGATACTTAAGGTGAGGTTAATATGATATAACATACAGTATATGTTTTCCTAAACCAACTCGAATTATATATGAGCTAAGCTTCCTCCCTAGTCAACACAATGCCCACAAGTGTGTTGTCAAGCATTTCAGTCCAAGATAATTCCTCCGAACAAGAACATAACCCCAAAGGTAGTAAGTGCATCATTGCTTGATAAACAATGACATGGCTCCTTTATGCCAAAACAAATCCCAACTTGCTTATAAGGACCTTAAATAGGTAAAAGGTGTCATCATTCAAAATAATGTCATCAACATAAAAGAGCATAAAAGAACTACAACGAGCTGAACAAAAATAGTGATAAACCAGCTAAATAGAAAATTGGCTACGAAGGGAAGAATAAAAGTTCTGTAACAATGAATTAGGAGTCAATATCAGGCCACAGATAGCCTTGAAGAACCTGCATGCAAAGGCTCAAAGTACAAAATACTCAACTCATGGAGTTGCATAAATATGCCTTTTCAATTCAAATTCTGCAAATGAATGCATTATCAACATCAAGTTGTCAAATAGGCGCATCATGAAGTGTCAATGGTTAGGACTGTAGGAAGTAGGAACAACGATAAGCACAACTAGTGCACGAATGCTCTCAATCAAAACCAAAACCATAATGGCGTATTTCCTAATGTAAAACCTCATGTAACAAGCAGTCCAATAACAAACCATAAAAATATAGAAACTATCAACAGAACTGAATAAAATATAAATTTTGAGGTAGAAAATTCCACATGGGACTATTTGAATGTTACTTAAATTTTGACATATAGCTTTGCTTTATGAGGCAGAATGTTGGGCGGTCAAGAAACAACATACCCATAGAATAAGTATAGCTAAGATGAGGATGTTGAGATGGATGAGTGGCAAGACAACAAGGGATAGAATTCGAAATGAATACATTCGGGAGAATTCAAGTGTGGCACCAATACGCGATAAGATGAGAGAAGGTCGACTTAATTGGGCTAGCCATGTGCTGTGCAGATCCATTATGGCACTTGTTAGGAGGTGCAAGTTAGTTCAAGTAAAAGGCTAAAAAAAGGCAAGGGCTAGACTCAAATAGAATAAAATGGTGGACTAGTATTCATGTAGCCGACCCCAATTTGTTTGCAAAAGGCTATGACGATAATATATTGGTTTTCATCATCATCATTAACGTCATAGCTTTTTGTAAAGGAATGAGGGACTTCCCTGGGATGATGATGAAAAACAATTTGTAAGTATACTTAGATGAAAAACAAGGTCTTGTAGGAAATCCAATCTACGATGATGATCAAGATTTTGTGATTGAATTGATATTTGACGAGGAAAAAAATGAAGGACACAAAGGAGAATTGATAGGTGAAGTTGTTGGTTTAGTCGTTGATCTCAAAGATGTGCTTGTAGTGTGTTCTAGAGCTAAGTCTAGGCAAGCAGGATTATTCAGCAGGATTACATGGCTGAAGTGATGCAATTTCTATGCGATTAAAAATATTATATTGACATACAAGGACCCTTTCCACAATGGTTTCTCAGTTCTAATGCACAATCATTGTGTTTTGATTAGTGCAGTAGCCTACAAGTCTCAGGATCATGTTTACAATATTCGAGTTGAAGAATGGTGTCGGACTAGCGCCAAATTCATCTTAGCCCACCTCAAAACTTGAGGATGAGTTTTCTCCAACCCGGGGAGAATGATGGAGGGCAAAATTATTCTTAGTTTTTATTTTTATTCAACTCTAAATGATGTATGTCATAGTTTTAGTTTTAGGGTTTATTTCTAGGGTTTCTTAGTTTTTCAGAGATTCTAGGGTTTTTATTTTTATTTACTTCATAAGTACTATTCACAAGTACAATTCATGAGTATTGTTCATAGGTACTATTCACAAGGATAAAACTGTCATTATGAAATTTGAGTTTACATAAGGAGATGAAGGTCATTTTAATTATTGTATAGACATGTAATGTCTTTGAATATTGAATTATAACATATAAGAGGTTTGTGGGGCCTTGAGATGGCCAATTCCACATATTTCTAAAAATTGAAAGAAATAAAAACTTAGGCTTTTGGAACCCTAGCTTGAGGTATGGAGAAGAAACCCTAGGTTTCTTTAAATTGTGTTGTGTTTCATATGTTTTCTTGCTGATTTTATTGTTCCCTCAAATTTCTCTGCATCAATGCTCTAATATCATTATATGATCAAATAGGATTGAACTGGTTAATTACCCCAAAAAAAAAGGGTTGAACTGGTGCTGGACGACACAACAATGTTGAAGGAGAGAAATAAGACAAAAAGAATAAGTGAAGGAACATTACTCGCCCCAACATCATGGTCTCAATTAGCTTAGTGAGCCACCACATGCATGCTGCAAACGCTAACCTTTTTCAGGCAGTCAATCACATCCTGCTCTGCTAAAAATCATCTCCAGGGCAGGGATGCTTATGCGCCACAATGCTCGCATTGACCAATGTGGATATACTGATGCAGAATGGGCCAGATGTCACTCTCAATAGGCAATCCACATAGCTATTGCATGTTTGCTGGAAGCAATCTTGTTACATGGTGCAGTAAAATCTAGTGCAGAGGCAAGAGTATTGAGCTACAGCATCAACTTCAGATGAGCTGATGTAGATGAAAACCCTCCAAAAATATGAGGCTTTCTTCGTCATGGGCCTATCCCACTCTATTGTGATAATCAGGACGCCATCCACACAGAAACCAACTAAATATTCTAAGAATGCACCAAACAAATAGAAGTTGAATGTCATTACATGCGTGATAAAGTAACTTCAAAGATTATATCCACTCCTTGTGTGAGAAACACTGAATAGCTTGCAGACATTTTAACTAAAGGAGTTTGGCAGGGAAGGTTAGGAACACTTTTGGCATTCATGAAGTTCAAGCACCAATTTGAGAGAGACTATGGACAGATGTGACCCACAAGGCACATCTGGGGCACATTTATTCATAGAAGACTATCAATACCATGAAACAGTTCATGTCGTAAAACAATTCAAAGCCTCATGCTGCATGCTACATCATGGTTAACAATTTTTCAACCAGTAATTGTCAATTATTCATGAGTAAGTCATGTAATTAAATTAACTTATCGATGACTACTTTACAGGATTGTTTAGTGCTATTGAGCAACTCATGAGGAAGTCCCTTTTCTCTCCCTTGCTTAAGAAACCATTCCCTCACCCAAGAGCATGTGACCCATCCTTCATATTAACAGTGAACATCCCTCACCTCAGCTGATTCTCCCATGTCTAGAAAATATGGGAAGTCCCAATATGCACAGATGTGTCATAGATAATAATAGTGCAAAAAGCTTGTCATGCTTGATGGCAAAGAACATGCTGAACCATAAACAAATCATGGCAGTTGCACTAATACTTTGCAGCTGACTAAAGGTTTTTCAAAATAGAAAACTATTATTGCCGCATGTACGGTTATAAATTCAAACATCGAAAGGAAAAACACTTACTCAAATTAAAAAAGTAGCCAGAGCCATCTGGAAGGGGCTCAACCTTCAAAACCTTTCTAATCTTTCCCTCTTCACTACAAAATTCAAGATGGACACAGAATTACTAATAACATACATTGCAAGAGGCTAAAATATGAAGGTTAAGAGTAACACAAAAATGTCAATTACAAATAAAAAACACGTTACAAATCATAGTGGGGAATAATGATGTCAGTACAATGCTGTGGTGGCCAACAAATAGCCTAATCCTTGTCCTTCTTTGTCTCTTTTGTTAGCTATTTGTTATGATGTAACATTTTACACTAACAACAATGAATTTGAACTACCCATAAAAAATAAAAGAAAAATACAGGGTAATTGTGCTAAGGAAAAAGTTTATACAAGGTTGAGGCCTTAAATAATCAAACTAAGGCACACCTCAAAAATTCACTAGAAGTTGTTTCAATGTCCAAAAACTCTCAAATCCGATCATCTAGGCCTTGAGATACATGGACAAAAAAAAATATGGACTTCAAGTCTTGGAAATAGTGCATCTTGTAATACAGTATTTAGACTGTCAATTTTCAAGATTTTCAAGAGTTCATAGATCTACTTGAACTACACTATTATTGAAGCTTTAAATTTTATAATTATAGATCAAAATAAATTTTCAGGCCATCATAAAGATTTTTGGTACTGAAACGACATCTTTCGATACTATTTGAAGATGTGCCTTACTTTGATTGTTTAGGGTCTCAGCCCTACCTATAAATTGATGTGCATAGTGGTTTGTTAATTTACTTCTAATCGTCTAATGTGGACGTGTCATATCCACTGGAAGGGCAGTATCATCATTTGACCACAAATTTCATTTGTGAATGTTTTGAATCCATTGCAGCAGACTGCTGTGAAGAAATCTGTTCTCCTTCTAAGTAATTCCATGCCTTAATGTGGAAACTAAGAATACTTAAAACAAAAACCCTATCCAAGCAGCTTCACATGTAAAATTACCAAATGCACGACAACTCTAAACCTCACTCCCCATGACTCTTGTCATACATGCATCAGCATGTAATCTAAGCACAATTCTCTAAAAACCCATTCCTCTGAACAAACACCCTCTTGCCCCCTTCATTTCTTCCAAATTCCCATGTGCACTCACACCAAACTTTATACAGGCTTAAAAAAGCCTTCAAGGCCACCTATACAGCATTCAGTTTCTTCCTTCATGTCTGTTTTTTTATTTGATTCATATATGTTGTGTACAAACCCTAGTTTACTTCCAACCTATCTAACGCAAATCAAGTTCAAGAGAGAAGATGAATTCAAGATTATTTTATTTGTTATTTATTTTTCATTTTAATTTCAGGTGCATAGATGGGTTTTTAATAATTGTTATTGCTTGATTTACAATTAAAGTATAGGGGGACCAATGTGGTATATATTAATTGTTATGGGGCAGGGTGGTCAATTTCTTATTTGCTAGGATTAAAATGAGATTTACTAAGATCTAGTAAGTTAATTAGTTTCTTATTTTCTTATTTTTTATTTAGTCGGGAGAGGATTCCCATGTGAGTCCAAAGAAATTAGGAGAATTTGTAGGGAAGTCCTAAAGTAGTGGGTTAATCTCCTTTTCTAGAGAGAGGAGGCATGGATGAGGGAGAAAGGGGGTTATTACCATATTCGTGGATCTAGAAAAGAGGGTACGTGCTTTAGAAAGACAGGCAGTCAACTTTCGGATATTTTTTATCTTTCTTGCTTGTATTTGAGATGGAACATCGCACTACAAAGATTAGACTTTGGTTTCTTATTGTGAGTTTTTGTTATGAATGAAGAGAGAGCTCATGTGGTGCAAGAACGAGCATCTTCTTTTCCCTTTTGGCATAATTTACAGCCACACTTCTATTTGTTGCCGAATTTTGCTTGTTCAAGGATTAAATGTTGAGGTTTGTGACCTTTAAAGGCCAAGAAAGCTTGTATATAAATATTTTATAGTGATTTGTGCACTGCAGTGGGAGTGTCGTATGATTGATTGACTTAGTGTTGGCGATCTATAGCCCCAGTCCTGTCCAAAACCCTTACCCCTGGGCATGTAGTACTACCATTGAGAGTTTATTATTGGGTCATCCCTTGTAGGTCGGGGAGATATCCTGGGATGTTATTTGTAGGCCAAGAGAGTTGTGTGGTCTCCTATGTACGAAGGAAGGGCCGGTGAGAGTCAGAGCTAAATCCTCAACAAAACTTCTACACGGCATATGTACATATGACAGCCACATTTTTGAGAAGCAACCCTATATAGAGGGACATGTGAATATGTGCATAGGGAGAGTGTCCTTGTTTACCGTGTGTGCATTTGACTTGCTCTTGGGCAAGAAACCTGTAGTCCACATACTAGGATTAAGGTTCCACTATTTATTGGCTAATTTTGATTGTAGGTTATTGTCCCATTGGGTTAGTTTGATAAGATAGTAGTGGATCATGAATATTGGCACAAGTGGAATGCCCTAATATTCACTTGTTTTTTACCCATTAGGTACCTATCCACTTCTAAGTTCTAGTTTTGTGTCTTAGATTTTTATGAAACTCTAGAAATATTGTTTTCAACTTAGAATGTGTTTTTATGAATTTGTTGGGAATTTTTAGAATTTCAAAAACAAATTTAAAATGTTGCTGGAATTTTAAAAATATGATGGTATTTCTATATTTGTGAATTTGTGTGGGACTCACATGGGGGGACTAAGGGCCCCGGCCCATACGTGTGGGACCCCACTAGGCATCACATGGAGCCCACTAGGGCCTACAAGTCTCACTATGTGGGATGCCCACTTTATGTGCCACCTGTTTTAAAATAAAAATAACAATAATGTTTTAATTTATAAAATATTTTCTTACTGGAAATTTTTGGATAAGATTATCTTAGTGATTTTCTTGCTATCTAGAATATTTGACCAAGTCATAATTTAATTAGATGTCCTAATTATCTCTTTGTGAGAGAATAGGATGCCCAATTTATCTTGGATTTTTGTAAGTATTGATTAGTAAAAATTCTAGATCGATTAAAAGTGAATATGGGTCAAATCTCAAGGGATAAGGTTCCTAAATATTCAATCTAGATCATGATGGATGATCTAGAGATGAATGGCTCACATTAAAGTTCTCTCTCACCTCACATATCACCTAAATAATTCTAGATCAAGTTGACCTCCTAATTTTGTTGGGTCACCCTATCTAATGGTCTACAAATAAGGAGGTTCTCCCCCTCATTCTTCACATCTCTGATCTCTCTCCTCTCTCCCTCTCTCCTCCACACTCCTCTCTAAACTCTCTCTCTCTCTCTCTCTCTCTCTCTCTCTCTCTCCCCCCTTTCATAGGGGCATGCCACCTTCCCTAAGCATCTAGGGTGGCACGCGCAAATTTAGAAGAGAGAAAGAGAGGGCACGCCCACCCCTAGGCTGAGGGTAATGTGCCTTAGTGGACTACCCTAGTCTTTAGAGGTCTTCTTAATGAAACCCTAGTTGCTCTCTAGCCCAAAATAAAATTTAGCAAGGGTGTCCCATAGGTACTTCCAAAATTGAGATTTGAGAGTTCAACAGAATCTGGAATTTAAGTGCACCATTGGTCAAGTGATCGGATATGGGGTGTGCTAAGCCTAGAGGGGTAACCCTAGGCAAAAGGCAGTTTGTCTTCATTTACTTGGCTTTTATTTGTTGTCGTTTTTGTCTTACTTTTTATTCATGAAGTCTTATATTCAATTGAATAAAGTTTATTTTGGCAGTAAGTTTATAAAGATCCTAAATTGTAATAGGCCGAATTTTTTGTATTTGTGGCACATGTAAGTAAAATTTCCAGCAATTAATAAAAGAAAAGAAAGAAATTTTTTGAATTTATAGCCTGAAATTCTAATAGCCATCTTATATTAAACAGAGGGTGGATTTAGCTTCCCGCCTTTCTTTCACACCAATTTTGTATTGGAGCACAATTTGAAGAAGGTTAAAGACTACAAGGCTGGTCGTCGAGGTCGTGGCAAAAGAATGCTAAGCTGAACTAGGTAAACAAGTGACTCGACAACTGGATGGAGATGATTGCACAGTTGCTCCAAGGGTGAGATCAGCAACAATGTATCCTAAATGAAGAGGATCCTTTGGTGTTGGATTCTTTAATTTGAGGATTCTGATGAAGATTGGCCTGAATCAAAGTCTAAATATGAGTCGAAGCAAGCTGATGACATGTCTGATCACCCAATTTTGTTTGATGCACCACAACATCAATGGGAGGCTGAATTTGATGGAGATTCAGGCACATTGTTACTGGAATCTCTCACCTCAGGTGGCGATTCCTCTTCAAAATGTCGATTCCTCAATTCCGTCAAGGAATCTTCATGAAACCCATTTCCTTGAAGTCAAGAATCTCAATTCTGATTTCGATTCCAACATTTATGGAATCTAGATTCAATAACTCTACAACACAATGTGAATGTAAACAAAAACCTTATTATTTTATTTCCCCCCTCATTAAATGTACTCATTTTCATATCATCATGTCAAGTAAATGTATATTCTGAAAATAAGGTTACGGATTCTTACACAATTACTTTTCTAATGGTGACGAAACTTGCAAGCTATTTTTCAAAAAGATAATTGGGAAAGAGAATTAGGTTGGATTCAGATTACATTTTTAATAGAGCTAGAACATTTTTAATAGAGCTAGAACAGGCAGCTATTTTTAAAGATAATTGGGGAAGAGATTTGGCTTTGATTTGTATTCAACACAATAGCATGAACAAATTCCCATTTTCGACTATAAATATGAATCAAAATCTCAGTTTCAAGTATACATGAGATAACATTTATGTGTTCTGTCCATCACAAATTCCCTAGTGGACTATGGGTGTCTGTTAATTGTACTTAACCAAACTAGACCCTACTTTTGAAACTGTCATTAAGGCTCAATACATTGATTTCAGTACCACGGGAACCTTTGTTCAGGTCTTTATGAACTTTGAGGATCTCGATTTCAATACTAGGGGAACCACAACTAAGCCTACTCAATACATCGATTCCACTAGTAAGGGATTCTTACATAAGATTACTCTAGA